GTATAATTCCCTGTTCCTGTTTCTTCACTTTCTTATTCGCGTTCTCCTGGTCCACATCCTCTTCCTCCTCCTCTCCTCCTCATCCTCTTCCTGAGTTGCCGGCCGGGCCGGGCCGAGCAAAGCCGGCGGGCTGGCCGAAACCGGGACGACGACGATAACGACGACGATTACGACAACGAACGACGACGACGACGACGACGGCGACGGCGACGACGACGACGACGCGTGGACGGCTGGCGCCCTCCCGGGGCGCCCCTCCCAGCCACGAGGGCGACGACGACGACGACGACGACGACGACGACGACGACGACGACGACGACGACGACGACGACGACGACGACGGCAGCGACGGCGACGACGACGACGACGATGTTCCCTCCATTCCTCCTCTTTCTCCTCCTCCCCCTCCCCCTTTTCCTCCTCATATCCTCTTCTCCGGGGACCTCCCATGGCCCTTTTGGGTCTGTGCTGGGAGCCCTTGGGGGGCCTCTTGGTACCATTATGGGCTGTCTTGGGGCTCTCGTGGGCGATCGTGGGGCCGGGCTCGGCCGTCTTGAAGCTTTCCTGGGGGCCTTTTGGGGCGTCTCGAAGCGATCTCGGGGGCTTTGAAACCGTCTTGAAAGCTGATGAAATCCGAAAGGCGAATATGCTAAAGTTGTAAGTTTTACGAAGGGAATGGGACGATTTTTGTGTTTTGAAGGCCCCTTGGAAAGCTTTTTGTGGTGCCGTGGGGGTCTTTATGTTGGCGTTCGGGAACATCGTGGGGGTGTTTTCGGGACCCTCGTGGGCCGTTTTGGCGCCTTCATGGGCCGTCCTGGGGCCTTCTTGGGCCGTCTTGGGGAGCTTGGGCCCGCTGGAGCCCCCTTTGGACCCATCTTGGGCACTTCCGGGGACCTCCCATGGCCCTTTTGGGTCTGTGCTGGGAGCCCTTGGGGGGCCTCTTGGTTCCATTATGGGCTGTCTTGGGGCTCTCGTGGGCGATCGTGGGGCCCGGCTCGGCCGTCTTGAAGCTTTCTTGGGGGCCTTTTGGGGCGTCTTGAGGCGATCTCGGGGGCTTTGAAACCGTCTTGAGAGCTGATGAAATCCGAAAGGCGAATATGCTAAAATAGTAAGTTTTATGACGGGAATGGGACGATTTTTGTGCTTTGAAGGCTCCTTGGAAAGCTTTTTGGGGTGCCGTGGGGGTCTTTTGGCCGTCCTGACGCAATTGGAGTCCCTCTTGGAGCTTGTGCTGTCTGGGGCCTCCCTTGAGCCTTTCTGATGACCCCTCGGATCGCTCTGGGTCTGCTGGCAAGGTGTTTGTGGAGACCCGGAAAGCCGGGTAACCTTTTCCAAGGACGTCCAAGGGAGCCCGAGAACCCCAGATCCAGGGGGGTCCAGTTTTTTTTGGGGGTGAGGGTTTCCCCCCCCCCCCCCCTGGGCTTGTAGAAATATAGGAAGAGAAAAATCGAGAGAGAGAGAGAGAGAGAACGTCAGATGGAGGGATATTTGTATATCTGCATATGGATATACATAGCCGCATTTATACATGCACATACGTATGCAGTTGCAGTATTGGTATGCGTGTGTATATATATAGATACATATATATGTGTGTGTACACAGGTATAGTTGTTTACCTGTGTATACATGTATAGAAAGAGAGGGAGATAGAGAAAAGGAGAGAGAGAGAGAGAGCAATCTAGAGAGAGAGGGAGACAGGGAAGGAGGGAGGGATGTAGGGAGGGAGGGAGAGAGAGAGAGAGAGAGAGAGAAAGAGAGAGCGAGAGAAAAAGAGGAATACAGCGAACTATATAATCATACCAATGTATTGATAGGAAGAGGGTGAGAGAGGAGAGAGAGAGAGAGAGAGGAATGATATACGAGAGAGAGAGGGAAAGGAAGAGAAAGAGAGAGAGAGAGATGAAGCAAAAACAAAAGAGATCGGGGTGGAGGGAGGGCGGGAGGGAGGGAGGGAGAGCGGCAGAAAAGACATAGAGAGGGAACGATATAGGGAGGGATAGAGTGAAAGGCAGAGAGAATCAGAGGTTTTTTTACGTCTTTACATGTATGTGTAAAGGATATATGCATATGTCTTTGTATGCATGTATGTATGCATGTATGTATGTATGTATGTATGTATATATATAAATTCCTCTTCCTATGTTTGTATGAGCCCGGGCGGGGGGACCCCCCCAAAAAATTTATCCCAGTGCGACCCTACCTAGGAGTTGTAGCCTCTAGGAAAGCAACATTAGTAGGAGCGGTAAACGCCGTCCTCCTCGTTCTCCTCATCGTCGTAGTTGTAGCAGTAGCGGTAGTAGAAAGTAGTAGTAGTAGTAGTAGTAGTAGTAGTAGTAGTAGTAGTAGTAGTAGCAGCGCTAGAACCGCCGACGCCATGCCGTAAGTGAAGCAGCAGCAGAAGCAGGCAGCAAGTCGCCGAGACAGTAGCAAAAGCAAGCAGGCACGGAGATGAGGGCGGGGCACTGGAGAGCTCTTTACATCTGCATCTACATCTACACCTACATCTACATCGCCCACTATTGCTACACCTGCAGCTACATGTATATCTATACCTACATCTACATATATATATATATGTATATATATATATATAAAATACACCTACATCTACATCTGCAGCATCCACTATTGCTGCTGCTGCTATATATATATAGCAGCAACAATAGTGGATGCTGTGCTGCGCTATGCTACGCTATGCTATGCTCTGCTCTGCTCTGCTCTGCTGTGTTCTGCTATGCTATGCTATGCTATGCTATGCTATGCTATGCTATGCTATGCTGCGCAATGCTATGCTATGCTGGGCTAGGCTAGGCTAGGCTATGCTATGCTATGCTATGCGATGCTATGCTATGCTGCGCTATGCTATGCTGCGCTATGTTATGCTATGCTATGCTATGCTATGCTATGCTATGCTATGCTTTTGCTTTGCCTTCGCTTTTGCCTTCACTTTTGCCTTTGGTTTTGCTTTTGCTTGGCACCCAGGGAGCGCAAGTGGGGGAACCGCGCGTTTGCTTTTACCTTTGCTGTTGCTTTTGCTTGGCTCCCAGGGGACTGGGGGAACCGCCCGGGGCAGTTTGCACTGCCCGGCCCCTTTAAGCCAAGCGAGTAAGAACCCTTCTAGGCAGAGCCTAGGTAGGGAAAAACAGGGCTCCCGGGATCTGGGGCTTTGGGACCCTCCGGACGGGCCTCGAAGCGCCCCCCCGGGCCTAGAGACCTTCAGGACAGCACAAGAGCGCTCCAAGAGTGACCGACGTGACCTCAAGATGGCCCAAGAGGCCTCCAGGAAGGCCCCAAAGAGGCCTCCAAGAGCACTCCCAAGAAGGCCCCAAGAGGAACAAATCATTGATTTTCTGTTGGCTTTTGCTTAATTTTGGGGTTCTCCTGGCTTCCCGACGCTCCAAGACGGCGGTCTTCTGGGCGTCCGAAGCCGCCTGGGAGGCTCCCAAATCGCTCCACAACCATCCGAAAGGGCTTCCAGGCAGTCCAAGAGAGCCCCAAAACGGCACAACACGGGTCCAAGATGGCCCTCAGAGAGCCCCATGGCGGCCCAAGATGGCCCCAAGACACCCTCCGAAGCATTCCAAATCGAGACCCGGTCGTTCAGGGAGACCGCGGTTGGAGGCAGGCTGGCCCGAGGAAGCCCCCAGAGGTCCCCAGAATACGCCCAGGAGGCCTCCAGAAGGCCTTAAGAAAGCCTGAAGCAACTTTTGTGAGGCCCCCAGAGGCTCTCCAAGGAGGAGCCTCCGCAAAAAAGAGCTGAGGAGGCTGGGGAGAACGCGCAGGGTATGGCGAAAACGAGGAAAAATAAGCATGGAGGAAGGACAACGAAAAACATTATGATAGTGGCGATGTCAGAAAAGGCAACAAGGAGTTATTGCTGAATCGTCGGCTTGACCTTCCTGCTATTCCGCCTGCATACCAAACTTCAAGGACCAAGCTGCATGGCGCGAAGCGCCACTGCAGTCTTGTATATTTATATATATATATATAGATAGATAGATAGATAGAGAGAGAGAGAGAGAGAGAGAGAGAGAAACAAAAAAAAGAGGGAAAAGAGAGAGAGAGGGAAGAGAGAGAGAGAGAAAACGATATATATATATATATAGAGAGAGAGAGAGAGAGAGAGAGAGAGACAGAGAGAGAGAGAGAGAGATCAGCATGTAGGGAGAGGGCGATCGAACGAGGGTGTGATTGACGTGGTCATGACGATGCTGAGTGAAGACGCCGACCGCGTCAATAACGACGACCATAGCGACTACTGTGACAGCGAGGGCAGTAACAATGGAAGCAACGGCACCGACGATGATGACCCCCGATGTCGTTTTTACTCTCAACGTGGACCTTCGGAGGTCTCGACCCCTTCCGCGGGATCATTTTTTCCCCCGAGACATTTTTGGCACGTTCCCGCGGTCCCGGAAGCACACCCAGAGGCAGCAATTGGCCAAAGAGCTCCCGTCTTGTTTTGGTTCAAGACGCGATGGGGGCCTTGGCCTGGGGGTCGAAAGTCGACCCCTGCCCCACTCTTGGGTTGCGTTCTGGCCAAACTGTGGAGGGGGTACCCAGCCGTGGCCACGAGAGGCCTCGAGGAATCCCAAACGTGTCAAAACCGTCTACACACCTCAGTCTTATATCCTTCGGCGGCGGGCGAGGGGGGAAATGAGAAGGAGAAGGCCTTCTCAGAAGGCGGCGGGACTCTCAGAAGCCCTCGCGCCTTCTGAGAAGTTGTTGTTGTCGTCGGGGAAGGCTCCAAAAACTTCTCAGAAGGCAGGGGGACTTCTGAACCTTCTGAGAAGGCCTTCTCCTTCTCACTTCCCCCCTCGCTCGCCGCCGACTCCTCGAACCATACACCCGACGTGGCGGGGGTACCGACGATCATGACGGCGATCGCAGCGAAGGCTGCACCAGTGCCGAGCATCTCTTTCGAGTCACTCGACGCCGCGAGCGGCTCCTGCCGCCTGCCGGGGCGCGGAGCGCGTGGCCATGCCCGCGGGGGGGTGATGCGGGCTGCCTGCAAGCGCCCCGCCCGGAGGCTTCCACAGGGGTGTCCAAGGCAGAGGGGGGGTTGCCCTCGGATGGGGGCTCGGACGCCACTCCGTGGCGCAGCTCGAGCCTCCTCGGGTCTCCGGTCCTCCTCCCTCCTCCCCCTCCTCCCTCCTCCCTCCTCCCATTCCTGCCTCTGCTCTCCGAAAGGCGTCATCAGCACCATCGTCATCCTCATCGCACCCTTCAGACGGTTCGTGGCCCCATAGGGAGCTTCACCGAAGGCCCCAGCGGCAGGGTCCACATGGCACCGCCGCCCCATTTGGCGCACCCCTCACAGGGTTCGTGGCCCCATAGGGAGCTCCACCGAAGGCCCCAGTGGGAGGGTCCGCATGGCACCGCCGCCCCATTTTGGTTTGGCGCACCCCTCACACGGTTCGTGGCCCCATAGGGATCTCCACCGAAGGTCCCAGCGGCATGGTCGACATGGTTTCGCCGCTCCATTTTGGCGCACCCCTCACGCGGTTCGCGGGTTGAAGAGGGAGCTCCACCGAAGGCCCCAGTGGGAAGGCCAGTATTGCACCGCCGCCTTATCTTGGCGCACCGCTCACACAGTTCGTGGCCCCATAGAGAGCTCCACCGAAGGCCCCAGTGGGAGGGTCCACATGGCACCGCCGCCTTATTTTGGCACACCCCTCACACGGTTCGTGGCCACATAAGGAGCTCCACAGAAGGTCCCAGCGGCAGGGTCCACATGGCACCGCCGCCCCATTTGGCGCACCCCTCACAGGGTGCCTGTACGCAAACGAATATACATCTATTCATACCCATATGCATATACACCTGCACACATGCATACGCATATATACATATGTATATATATATATATATATATATATGTAAACATACAGATACATGCACGTATCAAACACGTATACATACGCATATACATATACCTAGAGTTATGTATACAGCTGATATATACACATATGTATACTCAGATGTACACATATGGAGATAGAGATATAAAAGCACAACAACATTCTCCTGGCTTCAGGCCCAACCATGTGCAATTGTGAACACCGTGTTGTGGCGCCGCTATCGGTGGAGCGGCCTATGAGGCCACGACCCGTGTGAGGGGTACGCCAAAATTTTGCGGCACCGCAATGCAAGCTCCTCCACTGGGGCTTTCGGCGGAGTTCCCTATGGGGCCGCGAACCGTGTGAGGGGTGCGCCAAAATGGAGCGGCGAAGCAATGTGGACACTGCCGCTAGGGCCTTCGGTGGAGCTCCCTATGGGACCACGAACCCTGTGAGGGGTGCGCCAAATGGGGCGGCGGTGCCATGTGGACCCTGCCGCTGGGACCTTCTGTGGAGCTCCCTATGGGGCCACGAACCGTCTGAGGGGTGTGCCAAAATGAAGCGGCGGTGCCATGTGGACCCTGCCGCTGGGGCCTTCGGTGGAGCTCCCTACGGAGCCACGAACTGTGTGAGCGGTGCGCCAAAATAAGGCGGCGGTGCAATACTTCCCACTGGGGCCTTCGGTGGAGCTCCCTATGGGTACGTGTGTGTATATATATGTAGATATACGTGTGTGTTATACGTGTTTGTGTGTCTGTATGTGTTTATGGTCATATATTTATATGTGTATGCATTTGTACATGTATACCCACACGTATTGGTACACATGCGCGTCCATGTTGATGTGTATACATATGGGCACATACATTTTCAGATGCGTATGTGCATGTGTATATGTACGTGAATGTGTCTGTGTATGTATGTGTATAGGCATGCATGTCTACATATGCATGTACGTGTGTGTAAATATATGTATACTTGTGAGTGTATGCACGTGCATGCGCATATGTATATGTATATGCACAGGTGACTGTGTATGTATATGTTATTGTATACTGCGCATACTATATATTCATGTGTTTATGTGCATGCTTATGTGCATGTGTATGTATATGTGCATGCACATGTACATGTATATGATTACGTACATGCACTTGCACATGTATATGCATTAACGCATGTTTTAGGTATCTGCATGTGCACATGCACGTGTAGTTGTACGTCTGTTTGCATATGTATACGTATAGGGGTAAGCATCTGTATACTTTGTGGGTCTGTATAGTCGTACGTGTATGTGTGTATAGTTGCATGTATGTATGAATATGTATGTATGTATGTATGCATGCATGTATGCATGTATGTATGTATGTATGTATGTATGTATGTATGTATGTATGTATGTTTGTTTGTATGTATGTATGTATGTATGTATGTATGTATGTATGTATGTATGTGTGTATGTATGTATGTATGTAAGTAAGTATGTATGTATGTATGTATATATATATATATATATATATATATAAGCAGATTCCTCTTCCCATATTTTTATAAGCCCCGGCGGGGGGACCCCCCCCCAAAAAAACGGGACTCCCAGGATCTGGGGCTTTGAGACCCTCCGGACGGGCCTCGAAGCGGAGCGGCCCCTGGGCCTCGCAAAGCCTTCCCAGCACACCTAGGGCGATCAGGGGGGTCATCGGAGACGTCCCAGAGACCCCCAGGACAGCACAAGAGCGCTCCAAGAGTGACCGATGTGACTTCAAGATGGCCCAAGAGGCCTCCAGGACGGCCCCAAAGAGGCCTCCAAGAGCACTCCCAAGAAGGCCCCAAGAGGCACAAATCATTGATTTTCTGTTGGTTTTTGCTTAATTTTGGGGTTCTTCTCTTTTCGGCTTCCCGACGCTCCAAGACGGTGGTCTTCTGGGCGTCCGAAGCCGCCTGGGAGGCTCCCAAATCGCCCCACAACCATCCGAAAGGGCTTCCAGGCAGTCCAAGAGAGCCCCAAAACGGCACAACACGGGTCCAAGATGGCCCTCAGAGAGCCCCATGGCGGCCCAAGATGGCCCCAAGACACCCTCCGAAGCATTCCAAATCGTGACCCGGTCGTTCAGGGAGACTGCGGTTGGAGGCAGGGTGGCCCGAGGAAGCCCCCAGAGGCCCCCAGAATACGCCCAGGAGGCCTCCAGAAGGCCTTAAGAAAGTCTGAAACAACTTTTGTGAGGCCCCAGAGACTCTCCAAGGAGGAGCCTCCGCAGAAAAGAGCTGAGGAGGATGTGGAGAATGCGCAGGGTATGGCGACAATGAAGAAAAAGAAGCATGGAGGAAGGACACCGAATAACATTATTATAGCGACGATGCCAGAAAAGGCAACAAGGAATTATCGCTAAATTGTCGGCTTGACCTTCCTGCTATTCCGCCTGCATACCAAACTTCAAGGACCAAGGTGCATGGCGCGAAGCGCCACTGCAGTCTAGACAGTTAGATATAGGTATGTGTCTACGTACACGTATTTCGTACATGCCTAGGTGTACGTATACGTATACGTATATGTATAAGCATACGCATATGCATGTGTTTATGTACGTGCAATTATATACATATGCGCAGATCTGTTGATTTTTCGCGCGTGTGTGCACTTGTGTATGTGTATCTATATGTGTGTATGTGTATGTGCTCCTCCTCCTCCTTCTCTTCCTTCCTCCCCCTCCTAGCTCCTTCCTTCTGCCTCCTGCTTCCAGCCTCCCCCTCCTCCTCCTCCTCCTCCTCCTCCTTATCCCTCCTTCTCCTCCTTCTCCTCCGTCTCCTCCTTCGCCGCCTCCTTCTCCTCCTTCTCCTCCTTGGTCTCCTTGTCCCTCCTCCTCTCTCTCTCCTCCTCCTCCTCCTCGTCCTCCTCCTCCTCCTCCTCCTCCTCCTCCTCCTCCTCCTCCTCCCTGCATCCCCTTTTCTTCCTTCTTCCTTCTCCTCCTTCCCCGGATCCCCTAGGTCTCTAAACCCCCATCTGCCTTGACGCCGCCTTGGAACTCTCCAGCGAGCGGCCGCTCTCCTCGGGGCTGACAGAGGGCGCGCGGAGATGGGCGCGGCCCAGACCGCGGCGGAGGACCGTCAGGACGGGAGGAGGAGGAGGAGGAGGGAGGAGGAGGAGGAGAGGAGGAGGAGGAGGAGGAGGAGGAGGAGGAGGAGGAGGAGGAGGGAGGAGGAGAGGAGGAGGAGGAGGAGGAGGAGGAGGAAGGAGGAGGAGGAGGGGAGGAGGAGGAGGAGGAGGAGGAGGAGGAGGAGGAGGAGGAGGAGGAGGAGGAGGAGGAGAGGAGGAGGAGGAGGAGGAGGAGGAGGAGGAGGAAGGAGGAGGAGGAGAGGAGGAGGAGGAGGAGAGGAGGAGGAGGAGGGAGGGAGGAGAGGAGGAGGAGGAGGAGGAGAGGAGGAGAGAGGAGGCCGAGAGGAGGGAGAGAAGAGGAGGAGAAGGCCGAGGAGGAGTGAGGGAGGAGGAGGGGGAGGAGGAGGAGGGAGGAGGAGGAGGGAGCAGGATGAGGAGGATGAGGAGTAGGAGGAGTAGGAGGAGGATGATGCCGATTATGATGATGATGATGACTATGGTGATGATGATGATGATGATGATGATGATGATGATGATGATGATGATGATGATGATGATGATGATGATGATGACGAGGATGAGGATGAGGACGAGGACGAGGAGGATGAGGAGGCAGATGAAGAGAGTGAGGACGAAAAGGAGGAGGAGCAGGAGGAGGGTGTGTTGGAGGAGGAGGAGGAGTGAGGTGCATGAGGAAGAGTAGGAGTAGGAGGAATGAACCTGTGGTGGAGGATGAGGTGAGAGGAGGGGAATGATGAGAGAGGAAGGAGACTTGAGGAGTGATGAGGGAAGAGGGGGCGGGGATGGAGGGATGACTGGACGGGTGCAGGGATGGAGGGAGGAGGAGGAGGAAACTTGAGGAAGGAGGGAGGGTGGATTCGGCTGATTTATGATGATGGTAATGGTGATGTTGATGGTGATGCTGCCAATCACGCTGATGATGCTGATGAATGTGATTATGGGAATATGACGATGGTGGTGGTGATGATGATGGTGATGATGGTGATGATGGTTATGCTTGTGATAGTGATGGTGATGATGCTGCTGATGACGATCATGCTGCCGATGATAATGTTGGTGATGGCGATGCTGACGATCATGCTGATGTTGCTGCTGATGACGTGGACGTTGATGAGGTTGATTGTGGCAATGCCGATGACGATGACGATGATGTTGTTGTTGATGCTGCTGCTGATGCCGATGATTGCGATGATGATAGCGACGATGACGACAGTGGCGACGACAGTGCAGACGGCGACGACGACGATGATGGTGTTGCGGACGGTGACTCAGTCTATGCAGCTGATGCTGAATGTGATGATGCAGCTGATGATGATGATGATGATGCTGCTGCTGATGCTGATGATACTCTGATGCAGCTATGGTGATGACGCTGGGGATACCGATGATGTTCGGGATGATGAGGATGCTGCTGATGATGATGACGATGATGCTTATGCCGATGATGCTGCTGATGACGATGACGATGATGATGCTGTTGATGATGCTGCTGATGCTATGGATGATGATGCTGCTGATGTTGCTGATGATGAGGTTGATGGTGAACATGAGGCCGATGATGTTCACGATGTTGGTGATCATGCTGAGGATGACGATTATGTTGACGCTGATGAGTATGCTGATGATGCTGTTGCTGATGATGAGGATGCTTATGATGATGAGGATGATGCTGATTCGGATGAGGGTGATGATGATAATGAAGATGCTGGTTATGATTGTGATGCTGATTCTGATGCTGCTGCTGACGATGTTGCTGCTGATGATGATGATGATGATGATGCTGATGTTAATGAGGATGATGCTGATGATGATAATGCTGCTGCTGATGATAATGATAATGATGCTGCTGATGATGCTGATGATGCTGATGATGCTGATGATAATGATGATGATGATGATGATGATGATGCTGATGATGCTGATGCTGATGATTGTGTTGCTGCTGATGATGCTGCTGAGGATGATGCGGCAGCTGGTCGTGACGAGGATTATGATGAGGCTCAGGGTGATAATGATGATGAGGAGGAGGATGAGAAGGAGGAGGAGGAGAAGGTACAGGAGGAGGAACCGGATGACGCAAACGTTCTGGTTACGACGGCGACGACCACGATGATGATGCTGATGATGATGATGGTTATGATGATGATGATGATCATGCTGATGATGATGATGATGATGATGATGATGACGATGACGATGACGATGACGATGATGATGCCGATGATGCTGCTGATGATGATGCTGCTGATGATGATCGTGATGATGATAATGCTGCTGTGGTTGATGATCGGGATGATGCTGATGATGAGGATGCTGATGCTGCTGATGATGCTAATAATGAGGCTGATGAGGACGTTGCATATGATGATGATGATGATGATGATGATGATGATGATGATGATGTTGATGATCATGATGGTGATGATGCTGATTGTGCTGACGTCGATGCCGCTGCTGCTGCTGCTGATGATGATGATGATGATGATGACGATGCTGATGTTGCGGATGATGCGGATGATGATGCTGATATTGTTGGTGATGAAGATGCTGATGATTATGATGCTGATGATGATGCTGCTGATGTTGCTGACGATTGTGATGCTGATGATGATGCTGATGCTGCTGCTGATGATGATGCTGATTAGGATGATGATGATGATGCTGATGCTGATGCTGATGCTGATGCTGATTAGGATGATGATGATGATGATGGTGGTGGTGGTAGTACTGCTAATTGTCATGGCGGTGGTGGTTGTTACTGGTATGACGAGGATAAGGGTCGAGGGTGGAGGATTGAGGATGGATGATGATGATGATGATGATGATGATGTGATGATGATGATGATGATGATGATGATGATGATGATGATGATGATGATGATGATGATGATGATGATGATGATGATGATGATGATGATGATGATGATGATGATGATGATGATGATGATGATGATGATGATGATGATGATGATGATGATGATGATGATGATGATGATGATGATGATGATGATGATGATGATGATGATGATGATGATGATGATGATGATGATGATGATGATGATGATGATGATGATGATGATGATGCTGATGCTGATGCTGATGGTGATGGTGATGGTGGTGATGATGATGATGATGAGGAGGAGGAGGAGGAGGAGGAGGAGGAGGAGGGTCAGGAGGAGGAGAAGGAGGAGGAGGAGGCGGGATGGTGAGTGACGGGGACTGAGGGTGAGGGGGAGGGGGAGAGAGATGGAGGTCGGGAGGGGGAGGAGGATGAGGATGTGAGGAGAAGAGGAGCGCGGATGGTGAGGGGGATGGAGATGGTGAGGGCGATGCGGGGGACCATAAGAACAATGTTGAGAGAGATGGGGATGCGGAGGGAGGGGTAGGGGGCAAGCTAGGCGCGCTCGCGGAACATCCGACATCCTAACATCCTAAGCCCCTTCCGCGCATCCTTCTCATCGCGTGCGTCGAATCCCCTGGCATCCGCTGGGAGTGGCGTCCGAACAACACAGTAATGCCCAGGTGGTAGTCGCAGGACTTCACCCGTCGTTTGCTGTGCAGCCAGCTGTGCGGGCGTGGGTGGGGATAGGCCCAGGGAGGGACGACGTTTGGATGTTCCAGGTTTTCGGACGGTTTCGTTGGTTCTCGACGGCTGTCCAGCCTCGAGATGCCTTGCAGCGACTGCGCCCACCTTTGCGAAAGCCCCGCCACGCCGCCCAATTACTCAGAAGGTAAGCAAGAGCCCCTTTGTTCTCCATAGGGGGGAAACGGGTCCTGAGGGAAACGGGTCCTGAGACTTTTCGCTGCTTTTGGCGTCTTGGGGTCCTCCACACGGGCCTCGGGACTCAGAAAGCCACTCGGGATGGAGAAACTCGTCCTGGGGGAAGGCACCACTGTCCAGGACCCGTTTCCCTCAGGACCCGTTCCCCCCATGCTGATTCGTGAAAGCACTGTGTTTGTGGGACGCCTCATGAAATGCTTTACTCTCTCTCTCTCTCGTGTGTGTGTGTGTGTGTGTGTGTGTGTGTGTGTGTGTGTGCGTGCGTGTGTGTGTGTGTGTGTGTGTGTGTGTCTGTGTGTGTGTGTAAAAGCAGTACACGGGAGAGGCGGCGCCACGTCTGGACATCGTCAGGGGAGAGGAGGGCAGTGCTCATCACGAGCAGTCTGCCAATGGGGGCGTTCATGCGGTCAGGAACTTTGGCTTGGCGTGCCGCGCCGCCAGTTGTGGCCCGCCGCCACGCTTCGGCGCGGCACGCGAACAAGTTCCCGGTCCCCAGCTGTCAACGTCCCGAGCTTCCCCCAGCCTCCCGCCCCGCGAAGCGGAGCGACACGCCATCAGCTCGCATGGCGCAGCGTGTCGCTGAGGCCGCCGCGGCGACACGCGAACGCAGCACTCTCCGACCGCAGCGCTTCTCCTCTCGGCGCCCCCGGGCCCAGCAGCGGTGGCCGCGGCAGAGGTGGACGCGAGGCACCACGCCGTGCACAGTCGGATCCGGGGCCCAGAGGGGGGCCCCGCGACCGTGGGCGGCAGGCTGGTGTGGTGCCGACGCGGCTGCGTCCCCAGCGCGGGCCCGCAGGGTTGAATGGCGCTGGTGGTCCAGACCTGGCCGACGTCGAGCGATCCTCGCCATGGGAGAGCTGCTGTTTTCAGAAGGCGGTCCCTCGACCGTGGGCCTCTCTGGGATCCTGACCAGGTTCGGCCCCGCTTGTCCCCCTCTGCTGCCAGGTCAGTGTTTCCGTTTGCCCGTCGGTGCTCCATCTCTTCGGGCTTGCCTCTGCCTGTGGTCCATGCCTGTCCTCCCCTCCGCTAGACGTGACGCGAGTTCTACGGCTGGGGCTGTCGGGGGAGGAGGAAGAGGAGAAGGAAGGCGAGGGGTTCTCACCACCATCGCAGCTTGGCCTCCCCCGCATGGGAGGAGGGCGGCTGCCGTAAATGCCTGCCTGCCCGGATCAGGAGAAGTTCAAGTGCCCCCGGCTGCAACGATTTCCGCTTGCTACCTTGGATTGCAGCCAGCTGCCTGAGGCCCACAGGGTCGGGCACAAATGTTCGGCTTGCGCCGTCACTTTGCGGTGCATCGCACCTCTGGGAGCTTACCAGGTGTCGTACAGGGGGCTGGCACACCAGATGGTCACTGGCCGCCTGAGCAACGTGCTGGCCCCCTCGCCAGTTCTCCTCGCCCCGCCTTGGTGCCCCCCGGGGACCCTCGCGGATCGAGCTGGCTCGAGAGAGAGATGCCGAAGAGAGAGTGGGTCGAGGGCCCTACAGTGGAGACACATGCCAAGAAACACCCTGCTTGCCTCCAGGGTGCCCTGGGCTTCTTGGGTTTCGATGGTTTTGCCGTGGAAGGCGCGACGCTCCCACACTACAAATCAGTAGACGTCCTGGGGTCTCAGGGCTGGGTTTCTTGTGGAAGGTTTCCCGTGGACTGGCCTCCACTGCATACGCCGTCCTGGCCAGGCCAGGAAGACGCACGCACCGATCTGGGAGGCGGAGGAGGAGAAGGAGGAGGAAGAGGGGGACGAGGAGGAGGAGGAGGAGGAGGAGGAGGAGGATGAGGAGGAGGAGGAGGAGATGAGGACGAGGAGGAGGGAGGAGGAGGAGGACGAGGGAGAGGAGGAGGAGGAGGAGGAGGAAGGGACGAAGGAGGAGGAGGAGGAGGAGGAGGAGGAGGAGGAGGAGGAGGAGGAACTCGAGGAGGGAGGAGGAGGAGGAGGAGAGAAAAGGGTAGGAGGAGGAGGATGGATGAGGAGGAGGAGGAGGAGGAGGCGGGAGGAGGAGTAGGAGGAGGAGGAGGAGGAGGAGGAGGAGGAGGCGGAGGAGGAGGAGGAGGGAGGGAGGAGGAGGAGGGAGGAGGGGGAGCGAGGCAGGAGGTAGGAGGAGGAGGAGGAGGAGGAGCGAGGAGGAGGAGGCGGAGGAGGCGGAGGAGGAGGAGGAGGAGGAGGAGGAGGAGGAGGAGGAGGAGGAGGAGGAGGAGGAGGAGGAGGAGGAGGCGGAGGAGGGAGGCAGGAGGAGGAGGAGGAGGAGGCGGAGGAGGAGGAGGAGGAAGAGGAGGAGGAGGAGGAGGAGGAGGAGGAGGAGGAGGAGGAGGATTTCTTTTTTTGTTTTTTTTTTTTTTTTTTTTTGGAGGAGGAGGAGGAGGAGGAGGAGGAGGAGGGAGGAGGAGGAGGAGGATGGAAGGAGGTTGCTTGTGGTCGAGACTCCCACTTTATCGCACCTGCTCGCCCCCCGTCGGGCGCACCGTCGTCGCCCCATGTCTGCCTCCGCGGCGTCGGCTCGTGCTCGCCCCCGTCGGGCGCCCCGTCGGCGCAGGCCCCGCAGGCTCCCCGGAGGTGCCCCGCCCTCTGGAGCCTGCAGGGGGGGCCGAGGGCCTCGGCCGAATGTCGCGGCGTTGTCGTTGGCTGACCGTCGAGCAGTTTACGCTCTCAGTTCGCGCGTCGTTTGACAGGGGGCCACATGCGAACCCTACCCCTACCCCCCACGATTTCCGAGGGTTAGGGTGGGGTTCACTCCGTTCGGGAGCTCCCGAGCGAAGTGAACCCCACCCTCCCCCTCAGAAGTCGTGGGGGGTAGGGGTAGGGTTCGCATGTAGCCCCCTATCTGACGGTCGCATTGGTCTAAAGTTCCTCATGTGGGGGGCGGGGGGCGTTTTTCATGTGTTCAGAGGTGGCCCTGCTCACGGCTCTGGCCAGCAGGCAGGTGGGGGGGGGGGGGAGGAGGGGAGCCCCCCCCGTTCGACACGGTCGGGCGCGGCCCGAGGAGCCTGTCATTTCGACCGCTGGCGAGGTGCTTTTTTCGTTTTTGTTTTTTTGTTTCTTTTTTTTTTTTTTGTTTTGGGACCTTTCCCGAGCGGATCTGCCGGCGCCCCCCCCCCCCTTCTCTTTGCTCCGTTTCTTTGGGCTAGTCCTGCTCAGACCCCCAGGCCGCTGCCCATCTGCATTGCAGTTCTTAGCATACTGCTACCAGTACGGCTACGATTATTTGTACTGCGGCATTTAGAGTGAAGACTGGTATGACGTATGTAAGATTAAGGCATTCGTCGTGTACATTCGGTTGACAGAAGCAGGTTTGCACCACCTGGGCGGCGCGACAAATCATGATCCCCCCCCGCCCCCGACCTTAACATTGTCCATCCGTTTCGCAGCTCAAGCCGAGGCGATGCAAACATTTTCTTTCAACAGTTAACACTGCTTGTATTGCACCACGCAGGTGGCTCCACTCCACATACATTGCGCACCCCAGGTCGCACAGCATATATTTCACCTCGCACGTTGCAATCTACACGGTGCGCCACTTCGAGAGTACAATTTCGAGCGCTACTTCCCACCATGATATTGCATCTCGCATGTAGCACCAACGAGGTTACACCACGCGGATTGGCCACCCACATGTATGGCCCATTCAGATTGCAATGTACATGTCGCACGCAGTTTGCACCGCAGATTTGCACCATGCATCTTGCACGTGTGAATTGCATTAAGCAGATATCAACACATATGTTTCACCACTGGAGTGCACCCTATCTATGCACTTCATATGCGTATATATATATATATTGCACCGTGCACGCTGCACCAGATGGATTGTACCGCATAGGTTGCACCCCTGAGTCAGGATAGCCCACTTTGAGGGGTCCACGGTGGAATGGAATTAAGATCCTCTGGGTAACTGATCGTCTTACATATTGACCGCATCTTGTTGCTCAGGTGGCGAGCTTGACCCGTGATCATTGCGTTTCGGTGCTAACGTGGATGCATTTATTCAGCATTTTTCTCGATGTTTTCGCCACCATCTGCTTTGGAACCCTCAGTCTACTACTCGGACAGTCATGCAGACCAGCACCCGCGGCAAAACGGCGTCAAATGATTTTCGCGAGTCTCTGAATTCTTGTTGGGCTGCGCCGGCATGCTTTGCAGGACTTAGCAGCAGTCACGTCTAATGAGTAGCTGGCCTGCGAGCAGGTGCCCTGCGGAAATTTCTTATCCCCCAGTCGCCCTGGGTACCCGCACAAGCTCCAGGGAACTTGAGGACCCTCAGGGATCGACGAAGAAGGTGCCTCAATATTTACTTCTTGTAGCAAGATGTATTATCGCATGTGTTTGCCGCATTCTACCCATCGGCCGTCATGTCCCTCACGGAGCAGTTCCTGACTCGGAAGACGAATGCAACGTTTGATTTTGCGAATGTGATCGGGATTTGCCGGGCGGATGATAGGACAATTCACGGTCGTAGGCAGCATCGTTTCTAGTGGCCTTCTACCCATCCTATCACCGTGGTCGGGCCGCGTGCATGGACCTTTTTTGGGGCATCTTCGCGGCCTTCGGGATCTCTTGGGGCGCTTTTTGGGGTTCCAATGAGGGTGCTGAGCCGCATGCGAGAGAACCATCAGGGTGAGTACGGGGTGTCAGCGGGGTAGTCGTGGCCGCTGCTTCTGAGATAACTGCGACCTTGCAGTGGTGTGCCAGGGCTCTAATCGTGAGGCCGTGATCGGGCAACACGCTGATTGTAGGCCCTCCCCCCCCTCTCTGTACGCTAGGCTCGTGTCGTGTCGACGCGGCTGCGATCCCAACGTGGGCGTTCAAGGTTGAACGCCGCGTGGTCCAGAACCGGCCCTGACATCGGGCGATTTGCGCAATCGGAAGGCCGCCGATCGTTCAAGGCTGAGCGATCAGCGCGGTGCCAGAAACCAGCGCTGCAGTCGTCACGACACGAACCTGCCGTACAGTCAACCCACATATAGTAAGGATGGGCAAGCTTCCCAAGCGTACCCCTGCATCCTTGCCTCCTCGGTCCGTCCTCGGTCACTTTCGTTGGCCGCGCCCCGCTCGAAAAGCTTTGAAATGGGCGTCCAAGGCCCCCATCCTTCTCGCGCATCCTTGTGATGCTCACGCGCAGAGGGGGGGTGTGAGGGGAGGGGGGAGGGCTTCTCAGAGGCACCCCTGCTTCCCAGAGGGCGCGGGCCGTGTGTGTGTGTGTGTAGATGCATGCGGGGCCGGCGCCCTCTAAGAAGCAGCCTCCTCCTACGAAGCCTTCCCCTTTCCCTCCGCCCCCCTTCTGCGCGCCGGCAAAGAGGCGGCCCGGTGGCACCTCTCTGCGCCCATGGCCCGCAGCGCGAGCGCCACGGCCCCAGGCCCGCGCGGAGGAGCTGGCGGCCGTCCTCGGCGGCCTGGCCGTCCTGGACACGTCTCGGCGGCCCGAAGGGGAGGCCCCCACGCCGGGAGTGCCACCGCCAGAGCATGCCCACCCCCGCCGAGCCGCAAAAGCAGTGGCGAGGCGTCCTGGCTCGCCGGTAGCCCTACCCCAAAAAAATGTTCTAAGAACCTTTTTGTGGTTTCCACACGAAATGTTCTTGGAACAGTTCTGGCGGAGTCTGTTTTGTTTTAACACATCGGGTTATTGTTCTAAGAACACTGTTTTTGTTCTTAGAACATTTTTGGGTTCTAAGAGCATTTCTTGGTAGGACTATAGGAATGCTGGGACGGTCGGTCCCTGCTCAAGAACCGCCAAAGTATACAACAAACAAGACAAAGTAGACTGTACAACAGAGAACTGGCATCAACAACAGCAACAACACAACAATCATAACACATGAGAAATACTACAAAGTAACTTATGCATATATATATATATAACAAAGCACACACAACTGAGCATGTCTATACACGCCGCTTCGGAGCCGTGCCCTGGGACCTCGAGGAGTGGTGGATGTGGATATATCTGCCCGCCCGCACAGGGGCGGGCAGACGGTCCATGCCCATGGCTCCCCGAGTCCCGGGGGATACAGTCAACCCACACAGCAAGGATGGGCAGCCTTCCCAAGGGTACCCCTGGCATCTTTGCCGCGCATCCTATGGTACGGGTTGACTGTACGGCCATGCGGGGCAGTGGACATGGACGAGTTCTGGTGGCGCGTGAGACAGGAGGCCCGGCATAAGGACGCCCTGGAGGGATGGATTGGGCCGGGGAAAGCCCCCGAGCTTGGAGGGCCCCGCCCTAGCCTCCCTCCTCCTGCCTCCTCCCTCCCTGCTTCTTCTTTCCTGCAAGCTTCCAAGCTGGTGGCACTGTTCCATCCAATGATGTTGCCATCGACCCCCCCCCCAAAGGGGCGTGTCCTCCTCCGCCACCTCCCCCTCCTCCTCCTCCTCCTCCCTCCTCCCTCCTCCCTCCTCCCTCCTCCCTCCTCTTCCTCCTCCTCCTCTTCCTCCTCCTTCTCCTCCCCCTCCCTCCTCCTCCCCCTCCCTCCTCCTCTCTCCTCTCTCCTCCCTCCTCCCTCACCTCCCTCCCTCCCTCCCTCCTCCCTTCCTTCCTCCCTCCTCCCTCCTCCCCGTCCCTCCTTCCTCGTTCCTTCCTCCTTGCCCCACTCCCTCCCTCCTCCCCCAGGGCCTCTGCTTTGGGCCGCCGGAGCGTCTGTGGGGCAGCCGGCGCCCCTGAACAACTACTCGATGCCCCGCGGTGGGCTTGGCCACCCCGAGGGGCCCACGGTGGCACAGGGACGGACGGACAGGAGGAGGAGGAGGAGGAGGAGGAGGAGGAGGAGGAGGAGGAGGAGGAGGAGGAGGAGGAGAGAGGAGGAGGAGGGAGGAGGAGGAGGGGGAGGAGGAGGAGGAGGAGGAGGAGGAGGAGGAGGAGGAGGAGGAGGAGGGAGGAGGAGGAGGAGGAGGAGGAGGAGGAGGAGGAGGAGGAGGAGGAGGAGGAGGAGGAGGAGGAGGAGGAGGAGGAGGAGGAGGGGAGGAAGGAGGAGGAGGAGGAGGAGGCGGAGGAGGAGGAGGAGAGGAGGAGGAGGAGGAGGAGGAGGAGGAGGAGGAGGAGGATGGAGGAGGAGGTTAGGAGGAGGAAGGAGGGAGGAGGAGGAGGAGGAGGAGGAGGAGGAGGAGGAGGAGGAGGAGGAGGAAGGAGGAGGAGGAGTGAGGAGGATGAGGAGGAGGAGGGAGGAGGAGGAGGAGGAGGAGGAGGAGGAGGAGGAGGAGGAGGAGGAGGAGGAGGAGGCGGAGGATGAGGAGGAGGAAGGAGGAGGAGGAGGAGAGGAGGAGGAGAGGAGGAAGGAGGAGTGAGGAGGAGGAGGGAGGCGGATGAGTAGGAGGCGAGGAGGAGGAGGGTAGGAGAGGAGGAGGAGGAGGAGGAGGAGGAGGAGGAGGAGGAGGAGGAGGAGGAGGGGAGGGGAGGAGCGAGGAGGAGGAGGAAGGAGGAGGAGGAGGAGGAGGAGGAGGAGGAGGAGGAGGAGGAGGAGGAGGAGGAGGAGGAGGGGGAGGAGGAGGAGGAGGAGGAGGAGGCGGAGGAGGAGGAGGAGGACCAGTGTAAACCCAACTCTCATCAACGATGTTGGAATACACCCTTACTCCAAGCCCCCCCCTTCATAGTCCCAGGCAAGGATTCATGTCCACGCGGAAGTGCCCCGTTGGGAGACAACCGTCGGAAGATCCTGACGCGTGCCAAAACACCATTCTCGGAATTTAAACGCCTCGAATCAATTTGACAGTTGCCTCTTGACGTTGAAGAATCGTGCCAGAACACCTTCCCTGGACTTCCACATCGCGAATCAACATAACTGTTGCGCCCTGACAATCCTGAAGCGTTCCAGAATGCCACATCTGATCCGTTAACCATGGTAATCCGCGGAACCTTGGCAATTGTTTAAGACAAATGTGCGCGGTGCTGTGGCGATAACTACATTTTGAAAAGCAGCCGCCATCAATCCGTGAAGCTCTTGCAGACTTTTACGACGAGAGTGCGTGGCGCTAAGGCGAGAGACACATTTTTAAAACTGCCCGTCCTCAATCCGTGAATCTCTCGCAGATTTTCAAGACGAGTGCGCGACGCTAAGGCGAGAGCGACATTTTGAAAACCACTCGCCCTCCATTCGTGAAGAAGTTGCAAATTTCAAGCTTCAGGTTCATCAATGGAGAGGAAGTCTCAGGCGAAACGCCCGGCCCGCCCTTTCGACCAGCCTCGGGGCGCGACAGGGAGGAGTTATAAGGAAAAGAGTGGAGGAGAATGATGATGCTGCTGCTGATGATGATGCTGCTGATGATGATGATTATGATGATGATGCTGATGATGGTGATGATGATGCTGCTGCTGATTATGATGATGATGATGGTGGTGGTGGTGGTGGTGATGATGATGATGATGATGATGATGATGAGGAGGAGGAGGAGGAGGAGGAGGAGGAGGAGGAGGAAAGGGCGGATGAGGAGAAGGACATGGAGGAGGAGGAGAAGGAGGAGAAGGAGGAGGAGGAGGAGGAGGAGGAGGAGGAGGAGCACTCAGGCAGCGAACGACGCCTTGAGCAGGTCTTCGGGCGTCCTTCGTCTCTTTGGGGGGCCTCCGGGCGGCTCGTCGTCGCCGCGGCTGGATTCCCCCGGAGATTCTGGTCGAAGCGCTCCGCAGGAGAGCTCAGGGGCCTGCTATTTGGACCCAGACTCGCAGCCCTCGAGCACGACGTCCAGGAGCCTTCGAGGAGCAGGCACCGAGACAGGCATAAACTCGCGTGCAGGTCCGTACGGGAACCTTGGGGCTGCTCTGCGACCAGTTTCGAGCCCTACCTCTGCCGGTCCAGACGACGCTGGGGTCCCAGACCCCCTCGCGTCGTGAACAAAGACATGACGGAAGATGCTTCAGTATTTTTGGCGCCCAGGGGCTCTTACCGGCCCTCGGGGCCGTCCACAAAACGACCCAGGGTGAAAAACTCGTTCCCGGCAAGGGGTCCAGACCTCTGGGGGTCCACGTTGTGACAAATTTCATGGCGTCGGGGGTCTGGGGTTTCGGACACCCCCGCCCCGCTGGGGTTCACCTGGCTGCAGACATCCTTCGAATTCTGAACCCCAGCTGGAGTTTCAGAGATCTGCCCTGCAGGGATAGGGTTCACATGTGGTTGTCTATCTGCGCTTGTCACCTTTCCCCCTGGCGGCGCCTCCCGCACGGTCCCTGGCGCGCTCTGCGCGAGAGGGGTGGGGTCCAGCACCGACCCAAGAGATCTGCGCGGACCTCCAGAAGTGTGTGTTCATGTTCGCAGGCGATCTCTTTCCCCAGTGCCCGAGTTCCCCCCCTACAAACCTGCTCGTTCAGAGAAGAAGGGGAACTCGGGGATAGGCCCCCGAGGGGGCCATTCGGACGCACCTCTATCGAGCATGGGTGCCCCCAATCGTATATCCCCGAGTTTGACCTAGCTTAATGTCCAGGCGACACTCCCAGAAAGTCGGGGAGTGGGGTCACCGTTCCCCTTGTTTATTTCAGACAGCCCATATATTGAAACACCAAGACGTTTTTCTCGCTGTTTTCGGACTCCAGGGGGTCTTGCTGGGCCCCTGGTCCCTGGGCTGTTAGGAAGTGAGTGACTGAGGATGTATCAAGCGCTCCTGGGACCCCAGCAGAAAGAGCAGACGGAGGAGGGTGCAGAGGGAGGAGGGCGGGATGATGATGCTGCTACTGCTGATGATGATGATGATGGTGATGGTGATGATGATGATGCTGATGGTGATGATGACGATGCTGATTATGGGGATGATGGTGATGCTACTGCTGATGATACGTATGATGATGGTAATAAAGATATGATGATGACAATGTTCATGATGGTAGTGCTGGTAGTTGTGATGACGATGCTAACGATGCTGCGCTGCTGATGATGCTGATTATGTTTATGACGATGAGGGTGATGATGAGGATGATACTGATTCTGATTGTGCTATGATGATAACGATGCTGGTGATGATGATGCTGATGCTGCTGCTGCTGATGATGATGATGATCATGATGCTGATCATGATCATGATCATCATGCTGATGCTGCTGCTGATGATGCTGCTGCTGATGATGATGATGCTGATGTTGACTATGAGTATGAGGATGAGGATGCGGACGTTGCTGCTGCTGATGATCCTGATGATGCTGCTGATGATGATGAGGATGAGGATGAGGAGGAGGAGGAGGAGAAGGGAAGTGAGGAGGAGGAAAGTACAACGACGATGGTGAAGATGATGATGATGATGATAATCAGGAGGGTCAGAAGGAGGAGGAGGAGAAGGAGGAGGAGGAGGAGGAGGAGTGGAGGTGGAGGAGAATGAGGAGGAGATGTGGGAGGAGCGGCTGGAGGAAGAATGCGTTCGGTTAGGGACATAGCCACTGCAGAGGCTTGCAGTCGTGGCCCAGCGAAGCATCGGAGGAAAGGGGATGAGAATCCGGATGAGGATGATGAGGGGGATGAGGAGGAAGAGGAGGAGGTGCAGGAGGAGGAGGATGAGCAGGAGGAGAGAGAAAAGGAGGACTCGACAAATGGAGCAAGGACGTGGGAGTTGGATGCGCAGGATGCGGCAGGTGGGAGGAGGGTGAGGTTGGTTATGAGCACGACCAAGGCATACAGATAATGATGATGCTGCTGCTGATGATGAAGATGGTGATGATGATGACGATGAGGATGGTGACTCTTATGATGATGTCGAGGATGCTGATGATGAACATGATGGTTGTGATAATGCTGCTGCTGATGTTGATGATGCTGATGATGGTACTGATGACGATGACGGTGATGCTGACGACGATGAGGAGGAGGATGATAAGGATGATGATGCTGATGACGAAGAAGAGGGGCAGGGATACGATAATGGGGTTGATGCCGCTGATGTTGATGCTGTTACCGATGCTGATGCTGATAATGCCGATGACGATGGTGATGATGGTGATGATGCTACTGATGATGATGAGGATGATGCTGATGATGCTGATGCTGATGATGCTGATGATGATGATGCTGGTGCTAATGATATCGATGGTGATTCTGAGAAGGGTGATGATTATGGGGATCATGGTGATGATGAGAACGATGGCGCTGCTGATGATGATGCTGTTAAAGATGGTGATGGTGCTGATGATGTCGATAATGATGGTTATTGCGATGCTGATTCGTACGCTGCGGACATTGGTTATTGTGTCGGTGATTGTGATTGGGGTGATTCCGATGGCGATGCCGATGACGGTGTGGTTCACATTGATGACTGCGATGATGATGGTGCTGATGCTGGTGGTGATGATGCTGATCATGATGATGCTGATGATGATGATGAGGAAGATGCTGATGAAGATGATACCGGTGATACTGATGATGATGATGATGATGATGTTTATGCTGACGATGATGATGCTGGGGAGGATGATGACGATGATGCCAATGATACTGGTGTTGATGCTTGTGCTAATGCTGATGATGATGACGATGAGGAGGATGAGGAAAACTGATGAGGAGGATGGTGACGGTCATTCTTACTACAACGGTGACGATGGCGTCGCTGTTGATTATTATGATGATGCTGGGGATGGTCATGACGATGGTGATGACGACGGCGATGATTATGCTGACGATGACGATGACAATGACGATGCTGATGATGCTGATGCTGTTGATGATGCTGATGAGGATGATGATGAGGATGCCGCTGCTGATGGTGGTGATGATGGTGATGATGATGATGAAGATGATGATGATGATGATGATGATGATGATGATGATGATGATGATGCCGATGACAATGATGATGATGATGATGACGATTCTGCTGCTGTTGCTTCTGCTGCTGCTGATGATGTTGACGATGTTGATGATGGTGATGGTAATGGTGATGATGACGATGATGACGACGGCGACGACGAATCTCACGATGCTGTTGCTTCTGATGGTGATGATGGCCATGCTGTTGGCGATGAAGACGATACTGCACATGCTTATTGTGCCGATGATGCTGTTGGGATGGCGGCGACGATGGTGACGATGCCGATGATGGTGAGGCCGACGATGATGGTGGCTCACCGGGAGGATACTGAGGAGGCGGAGGGATGGAGGGAGGGAGGGAGGGACGAGGAGTAGGATGATGATGTTGTTGATGAGGGTGACGAGGAGGGGGAGGAGGAAGACGAAGAGGAGGGATGAGGCTCTGAGGAGCAGGAGGAGGATGAGGAGCAGGCCCAGCGTAAGCCCAAGACTTACCAACGATGATGCAATGATTGACCCTCGCTCCAAATTCCCTTCTCAGAGGTCCATACAAGGTTTGATTTTTAATACTGAGGGAAGTGCCCCGTTGGAAGACACAGGTCCGAAACTCATGAACAGCGCCAGCATACTGTTCATGGGGCTTCAACGCCGCGAATGAACGTTACTCTTGCGTCCTGACGATCCTGACTTGTGCCAGAACGTAGTTCCTGAGACTTCAACACCGCGAATCAACGTGACGGCTGCTCCCTGAGAGTCCCACATCGTGCCACAACGAGAACGTCAGCCATACTAATCCATGGCGTTGTCGTAAGCTCTTGGGACGATCGTGTGCAATGCTAAGACAAGGGCCACTTTTTGAAAAGGAGCCGCCCTCCATCCATGAACACCTTGCAATATTTTATTAAGCCGACTGTTCGCGACGCTGAGGCGAGAGCCACATGTTGGAAACGACCCGCCCTTCCGTCCGTGAAGCTCTAGCAAACTTTTACGACGAATGTGCGCCGCGCCAGAGCGAGAACCACGTTCTGGAAACGGGCCGCCCTCCATCCGTAAAGTCCCTGTACACTTTTACGGCAAATGTGCGCGGCGCTAAGGCGAGAGCCACATTTTGGAAACGATCCGCCCTCCATCCGCGAAACTCTAGCAAACTTTTAAGACCCCTGTGCGCGGCGCTAAGGCGGGAGCCTCATTTTCAAAGCGGGCCGCCCTTCTTTTGTGAAACTTCCGCAAACTTTACAACGAGTGTGCGCGGCGCTGACGCGTCGCGGGTGCCACATTTTGAAAACGACCCGCCCTCCATCCGTGGAGGTCTTGCAATCTTTCAAGACGAATATGCGTGTCGCTAGAGCGAGAGTCACATGTTGAAAACTACGCGCCCGCCATTCGTGAAGCTGTTGTAGTTTTCAGCCAAAGGATCCTAGGAAATCTCAGGCGAAACGCCCGGCCCGCCCTACCGACACGTCTCGGGGTCCGACAGGGGAGAGCTATTCACAAGGAAAGGAGATGGAGGAGGATGAGGGGAAGGACGAGGAGCAGGCGGAGCCTCACTGTCCATCCTGTGTCCCGTGGGGCGACCAAGCGACCACGGATCAATTCTCATGGACGTCCCCGTCGAGCGGAAGCGGGCACTGGTGGCTGCCGTCAGCCGCGACTGCCGCCTCGACCGCGCCATGGGGTCCATGTGCGGGAAGCCAACGGGGGGGGGGGCAAAGTCAGCCCAGCCCGCACCGCCCCCACCTGCGGCGAGGGTCGGCGCCAGGGCGCTCCCGTTTTCTGCGGCTGGCGGTCCCTGGAGGGCTTGCCGCATACCGAGGATGATGATGATGATGATGATGATGATGATGATGATGATGATGATGATGATGATGATGATGATGATGATGCTGCTGATGCTGATGATGATGCTGATGAGATGGTGGTGGTGGTGGGATGATGGTTGTGATGATGATGATGATGAGGAGGGGGAGGATGAGGAGGAGGAGGGGAGGAGGAGGAGGAGGGGAGGAGGAGGAAGAAGAGGAGGGAGGAGGGAGGAGGAGGAGAGTAGGAGGAGGAGAGAGGAGGAGGAGGAGGAAGATGAGGATAAAGATGAAGAGGAGGGAGGAGGAGGAGGATAGGAGGAGGATGAGAAGAGGAGGAGGAGGAGAGGAGGAAGAGGAGGAGAAGGAGGGGAGGAGGAGGAGGAGGAGGAGGAGGAGGATTAGGACGAAGATGAAGAGGAGGAGGAGGAGGAGGAGGAGGAGGAGGAGGAGGAGGAGGAGGAGGAGGAGGAGGAGGAGGAGAAGAAAGAGGCGGTGAGGGCGGAGGATGGATCGAGGAAGGGACGTCGGTATAAGCAGAACCTTCTGGAGGTCCGCGCGGATGTCTTGGATCGCCGCTGGACCCCCTGGGCGGCGCCTCCGGCGCCGCCCTTGGCGCGCTCCACGCGCTTGGGAGGGGGGTCCAGCGCAGATGCAAGAAAGCCGCGTGGACCTCCGAAAGCTTTTGATGATCTAGATCTTGATTTTTCTACGGGAAGGAGGCACGGTGCATGCAGCCCAGCCCCCAGACCCGAGGATGGGCGTCGGCGACGGCGTCGGCCACATGTTCGAGTTCATGCCGTGCAGGGACAAGCCTGGCGACGCGTTCTTCGACCTCAGCACGATGTCCTGCCACAACCAGCAGAACACCTTCCACCTGAAAATGGGCCAGTGGACTGACGACGCGTCCATGGGGCTCTGCATCGCCGACTCCCTGATTCTCAGGAAGTGCTACGATGGCAGCGACATCAGGCAGCGTTTCTGGAACTGGTGGAACCGAGGCTACAACAACGCCTTTCGGCTTGACAGGCAGCGCCCCTCCAGTCAGGGCCCCGTAGCTGGGGAGCATGACGAACCAGGACGCTGGACTTGAGCGCCCGAGACGACGGGAGCCGTGGGTCGAACTATTCTCCAGTCTTTGCTTCCCCCCCCTGGTTGGGATTTTTCTGAGATCCTGGTTTGCAATGTTCTAGCTTACGGGGCCCTGGTCTGGACACTCCGTCGGCCTCGGGGGCAACATCTCGAAGTCCCTGTCGGACATGGACCGCCTGCGGGCCGGCCGGAAGCCGTGCCCCGTCTTCCGGTCCAAGGGCGAGGACGCCGGGAATGGCAGCCTCATGCGGCTGGCCCCGGTGGCACTCTTCTTCCACTCTGTGCCGCACGAGGACCTCTTCTCGGGTGTTGCTAGAGCTGCCCCTGGCCCAAGGTACCCTCAGGATTTCCAAGGAGGCCCCCAGGGCCTCCAGAGAGCCCCTCACGAGGCCCCGAGGGCCCCTGGGGCTCCAAAATCCAGCGAGAAGCTGGGGGCACCTTGGGCCAGGGGCACCTCCAGCAACCCCCGATCTTCTGTGTTGCGGCGCAGTCCTCCTTCACCACCCACCCCGGCGTGATCGCGGCAGAGGCCCCCTGCGCTTCCTCCACTGGGGTCCCAGTCTCTCTCTCTCTCTCTCTTTCTTTTGTGCTTGCTACAGCTGCTGCTCCTGTTGCTGCTCGTCCCCCTTCTCGCCCCTTTTATCCTCCTCCTCCTCCTCCTCCTCCTCCTCCTCCTCCTCCCCCTCCTCCTCTTCCTCCTCCTCCTCCGCCTCCTCCTCCTTCTCCTCCCTCTTCCCTCCACCCTCCACCCTCCTCTCTCCTCCCTCCTCCGTCCTCCCGCTTCCCTCCTCGTCCTCCTCCTTCCTTCTTCTTCGCGGACTGCTTCCGCTCGGGCTGCATTTTCTGGTGCGGCTCGTCTTGCGATTCCGTGTCGCACTACATCCTGGAGTGTTCGAGGCTCTCGACCCTTGTCTCGGTGGCTCTCTCTCTCTCTCTCTCGCGAGGTTACCCCGGATCCGAAGGTCAAGCTTGGTCTGCTTCGTGTTATTGGGTTGGATGATTTTAATGTTGCGTTCATCGTTATTTACTTGTATGGTTCGGCAATTCCCCCCCCGCGGCAGCGCCGAGCTGGCCGCGCAAGACTTGCAACTGCTTGCCGAGGCCGTCACGGTCGCCATCTGCCTTCCTTAGCTGGCGCAGCATGTGCGCTTGTGGGCGCAGCGGTCTGTAAGCTCTGAGGCGCCCTGAAGGAGAACTCGTTGCGCCTGCAGGCCGCGCTCCTCCTCCTCCTCCTCCTCCTCCACCTCCTCCTCCTAGTCGGCGCGAGGGGCTCAGGAAGATTCTTCCGACCAAGCACGATCACACAATCACACAGCCGGCTGTACCAGGGCCCGACTCGTCCCCACAGGCCAAGGGGTGGAGCTGACCAAGAACACCCCGTAGAAGTCCAAGGAGAAGGCGAAAGAGGCAAGCAGGTGGATCGACTGCGACGAGCTCGATATGACGAGCCCGAAGGCGTGGAGGCAGCTGGGGTTGCAAAAAAGAGCGACCCGTCCACGCGGAAGGCGGAGGGCTGGATCGATGCTGACGAGGACGGCCCGACGACGTGGGAGAAGCGCAGACGGAGATCGAGGTGGACGAGAACGGCCCGACCACGTGGAAGCAGATGCGCCGGATCGCACACGACAAACGCAACACGAGTGACCTACGGTGGGGGCGTTGGTGAAGGAATGTGCCCAGGGGGCTTCAGACCGTGGAGGATTCCTTGTCTGATGAGGTCGGCAGTGATATCCATGGGCAATCCACGATTGGTGTTCCACCAGCTTCCAGACCCTGGATTCCTGATCCAGTGATTCCTTATCCAGTGCCCTCGCCGTAACGGTCTGGAAGCAGCTCGGCGGGCGTGAGGAGAGCTAGATCAGCATGCAGACCCAGACGACCTCGGGGGCGAGGGCCCTGGTGAAGAGCGCCGCGCAGGAGAGGGGGCAGGAGGAGGAGGAGGAGGAGAAGCGGGGGAGCAGCAGCAGCAGCGACTCCGCGTTTGCGAGGTGACAAGAACAGGCTGCTGCTGCGTGGACTCACGCACGCCAGACCCGCCGTTCCCAGGCCTCAGACTCCAGCGCTCAGATATCGTGCGCGGTGGGCGTTACTATACAGGCTGCGCCTAGCAGCACATCTGGTAGTGGGCAGTACTACTGCAGCGCTGCGATTGCGCTGACCGGAGACGGGTCGAGAGTAGATCGACCACGACCATCAGCAAACGAAGTGAGAGGAGCCCAAACTTCCCTGCATCTGTAATAGTGCGGGGGAGGGGGCGAGGCAGAGGAGGGAGGACCGAGAGCGGCGAACGGCGCGCGCGCGCGCCCGACGCGCGCGCCGACGCCGACCCTCGGCGCCCGCCCTCCTCCCCCGCCGCCGCCGCCTGGGCGGCCGCCGTCGCCACCTCTCCCCCCCCTCGCGTGCTGCCGGTCCCCCCCCGGTGGGCCCCCTCGCCTGCGGCGCCAGGCCAGGGATTGCCCCCCGCCCCGCCCCACTGCTGTGCGCTCTCGGAGCGGTGCGGTCGCCCCCGCTGGGGCGGCGGCGGCCCGGGGCCCAGCGGGGGGGAACCGCAGCCGTTCCCGTGGGCAGGCCCCCCCCAGAGGGGCCCTGCCCGCGTGTGGAGCCGCAGGGAGGCCTCGGGTGCTTCCGAGCCTGGGCTCGGATGGGACTCGTCTCCCTAAGCCCCTTGTCCTTGTCCTCGTCCCTTTTTCTCGTCGTCGTCCTCGTCGTCGTCGTCCTCCTCCTCCTCCTCCTCCTCCTCCTCCTCCCCTCCTCCTCCCCTCATCCTCCTCCTCCCCTCCTCCCTACTCCCCTCCTCCTCCCCCTCTCCCTCCTCTCCCTTCTCCTCCTCCTCCTACCTCGTCTCCTCCCCCTCCTTCCTCCTCCCCTCTCCTCCTCCTCCTCCTCCCCTCCTCCTCCCCCTCCCTCCTCCCCTCCCCTCCTCCCTCCTCCTCCTCCTCCCCTACTCCTCCTCCTCCTCCTCCGCCTCTCCCTCCTCCTTCCTCCTCCTCCTCCCTTCCTCTCCTTCTCCTCCTCCTCCCCTCTCTCCTCTCCTCCTCTCTCCTCGTCTCCTCCTCCTCCCTCCTCCTCCTCCTCCCTCCTCCCCCCATCCCCCTCCTCCTCCTCCTCCTCCTCCTCTTCCTCCTCCTGCTCCTCCTCCTCCTCTTCCTCCTCCTCATCTCTCTTCGCTTCTCGGAGGGATTCACGGCGGACGACGTCCGTGCGTGGCGCACACCGTACCGATCCGAGGCTGGGCTTGAGACAGGATTTTCTCTCCTCGGGGCTGGGTACACCTGCCATGGAACGCTCGCCCATCCTGTCTCCTCCGACGCCGTATTTCTTTGTGGCAGGGTCACCCATGGGATTGAGGGCTGGCTTTTCATGCATAGTCGTCCTTGCTTATCAGAGAAAATCCCTGGCTGGCCCCTGGCGCGCCAGAGTGTCCTGGCTCATGAGAAAGAGTTCCCGTTCGCGGTGGTGCCAATGCTCGCGCCACCAGGCTCGGCGCGGCGATGGGTCCTTCGCTCTCCCGCTCTGGGCTTCCGCCGCTGCGGCATTCTGCTGCTGCTGCTGCTGCTGCTGCTGCTGCTGCTGCTGCTGTTCGCGCTCTTCTGGGGCGGGGGGTCGGTCCAAGAAGAGGAACACCATAGACATACTTTGGATGCCCGCGCGAACTTCTGGGATCGGGGCTGGACGCTAGACACGATGGTGATCCCTGCTGGGCCTGCGTGGTCGGTCGGCCCCTCTCCTGGCCTCTTCTTAGGCCAGCAAGAGGGTCCTCTGGAGAGCGCGCGGAAGGCTGCGAGTGAGATTTGTGGGGGCGCGCATCGCAATGGGTGCGTCGACGGTTCTGCGCGCAAGCCCTCGTGGTCTTGTGGCACTTCAGCCGAAGGGCAACAAGCACGGATGTGTGTGCGAGTGTGTGCTTGCGCAGTTCGCTTTGAAAACGACGGACGATGGGGGTGGAGAGCTTCAAGGCCTGTCGTCGCTCCCCTCCGCCTCCTTTTCGTCCCCCTTCCTATCCCTTCCTCCTCCGCCTTCTCGTCCTCCTCGTCATCCTTCTCCCCCAGTCCATCTCTGTTCTCTTCCTCCTCCTTCTGCTCCCTCCTCCGTCTTGCGGCATATTCATGCATTCTGGCCTTGTGCGCTTGGACGCACTCCTGCTTCTCCTGCTCTCCTCTTTTCTTTCCGATCCTCCTCATTTGATTCCCTTTCCCCCCAGGCCCATTTCGATCCGGCCCATCCGAGTCGAAGTCGATTCCGACCGGCTCGATCCGATTCGTTTCCGGTATTCCGACGGTCCGATGTGGCCTGATGTTTGCACGGCGCTATCGTGCGACGTGCCGCGGCCGATCCGATTCGATTCCAACTCCGTGCCGATGCGGCCAATCCAATGCTGACCGTTCTCTGGCTCTAGCACCGTGTTGGTCACGGATGCTCACCTGAGACGGGTTTTGTCCAGGAGTGGCCGTGTGTTTGGCCCCGTCGCCTTTTGAGCCGTGCTTTGTTCAGGTTCGTCCACTTCTTGGCCCTTCGTAGGATCGGTGACTGCGTCCTTCTGCTCAGCTCTCAATTCCTTGCCCTTCTTCCCGGCGCAGGCCTGCGCACTGCTGGCCCACATCATCGTCTCCGCCCTCAGGCGGCCCTCGGGCGAGGCTGTGGATCCCAAGGCGTTCCTCGAGAGCACGACAGCCGAGTATGCCCGCCTCTCGGGCCTCGATGCGAAGTGTGAGTCTGGCGACTGGCGGTACCGCCACGTGAGGTGGGCCGGTCGAGTAAGACAATAAATGTTCGCCAGCGCGGGCCCCAAACAATGCGTTATTGCATTGTGGAGGTGAAAGATATGCAGTGTAAGCTATGTGGTGAAAGCTATGCAGTGTAAACCATGTCGTGCGAGTCGTGGAGGTGAACACTATGTGGGCTTAAGCTTTGTGGTGTAAGCTATGTCGTGTAAGCTTGGCAGTTTGAAATGGAGGTGTCAGCCAGCGGGTGTCAGCTACGTGATGTAAGTTGTTATGCAGTGCAAGCTGTGTGGTGCAAGCCATGTGGCGAAGGCTATATCGTATATGCTGATATCACGGGGCGCCCACGAGGCGCCCACGAGGCGGCATGGGCGGCGACGTGGCGCAAACCCGACATATTTCGGCGGCGAGCGAGGGGGGGGGACATGAGAAGGAGAAGGCCTTCTAAGAAGGCGGCGGGGCTGCTCAGAAGCCCTCGCGCCTTCTGAGAAGTTTCCTGGTGTCTTCGGGGAAGGCTTAGAAAGCTTCTCGGTAGGCCGGGGGACCTCCGAGCCTTCCGAGGAGGCCTCCTCCTTCTCACTTCCCCCCCGTCGTTCGCCGCCAAAAGGACACCAGGTAAGTACGCCCAAGTGCAAGCGCTGTGTAGGGCCTGTGCGTCAACTTCTGGAGGTCCGCGCGGATTCCTTGGAGCGGCGCCGGACCCCGCCCCCTCCCTGGCGAGCGAAGAGCGCGCCAGGAGCGCCGCCGGAGGTGCTGCCAGGGGGGGGGGCCGGGCGCCATTCTCGGAGGAGGAGGAGGAGGAGGACCAGTGTAAACCCAAGAGCTATCAACGATGTTGGAATACACACCCTCCCTCCAAGCTCCCTCTCCATAGGCCCCTACAACGGTTCATTTCCATTGAGGGAACTGCCGCGTTGGCAAACAACCGTTTGAAGACCCTGAAGCATGCCAAAACATTGTTCTCGGGATTCCAACGCCACGGATCAGCCTGACTGTTGCGCCTTGACGATCTTGGATCGTGTCAACACCGCGAATCGTCGTAACTGTTGCGCACGCAAAATCCTGAGTCCTTCCAGAACGCCATTTCAGGTACGTTGATCACGGGTACCCTTTCAAAGGTTAAAAAACGAATGTGCGCGGCGCTAAGGCGAGAGCAGTTTTTTTTTTTTTTTTTGGTTGTGTGTGTGTGTGTTTTTTTTTTTTTTTTTTTTTTTTTTTTTTTTTTTTTTTGTTTGTTTTTTTTGTTTTTGTATTTTTATTCTTAATTATATATATATATAAAATTTGCCACCCTCATTCCGTGAAGTTCTTGCATTTTCTCAAAAGAAAGCACGAATGTGCGCGGCGCTAAGGCGAGAGCCTCATTTTGAGAACGGGTCGTCCTCAATCCGTCTAGCTCTTGCAAATTTTTTAAACGAATGTGCTCGGCACGAAGGCGAGAGCCACATTTTGAAACGCGTCGCCCTCAATCCGTGGAGCCCTTCGCAAATTTTTAGAACGAATGTGCGCGGTGCTCAGGCGAGAGCCACATTTTGATGAAAAGCACCCGCCCTACACTTGTGAAACTGTTACAAATGTAAGCTTGAGAATCATAAACGGTGACGAAGTCTCAGGCGAAACGCCCGGCCCACCCTAAACAATTGATTCGTGGTGCGACAGGGAGAAGTTATTTACAAGGAAAAAGGATGGAGGAGGAGGAGGGGAAGGAAGATGATGAAGATGATGATGAAGATGATGATGATGATGCTGATGCTGATGCTGATGCTGCTGATGATGATGATGATGATGATGATGATGACGACGACGATGATGATGATGATGATGATGCTGACGCTGACGCTGCTGATGATAATGTTGCTGCCGATGATGCTGATGCTGATGCTGATGGATGATGATGACGATGACGATGACGATGACGATGACGATGACGATGATGATGATGATGATGATGATGATGACGATGGTGATGGTGATGGTGATGGTGATGATGATGATGATGATGACGATGGTGATAATGATGCTGATGCTGATGCTGACGCTGTTGATGATGATGATGACGACGATGATGATGATGATGATGATGCTGACGCTGATGCTGCTGATGATAATGTTGCTGCCGATTATGCTGATGCTGATGCTGATGGATGATGATGATGACGATGCCGATGACGATGACGATGACGATGACGATGCTGCTGCTGCTGCTGATGATGATGATGATGATGATGATGACGATGGTGATGGTGATGGTGATGGTGATGGTGATGGTGATGGTGATGATGGTGATGATGATGATGATGATGATGATGGTGGTGGTGGTGATGATGGTGATGATGATGATGATGATGATGATGGTGATGATGATGATGATGATGATGATGATGATGATGATGAATGATAATGAGGAGGAGCAAGAGGAGGATGGTGCGAATGCCGAGGGGCAGAAAGCGGCATCATCATAAACCTGTGGCTTTCCTGGAATTCGTTGGGTTGGCGCTGAGCCCCTCCCCCCTCTGGCGGCGCCTCCCCAGCGCCTGTGCCGTGCGCGCTCCGCGGCGCCTCGGTCTTGTGCTTCCAGCGCTGGGCCCCTCTCGTTGGCGCGTGGAGCGCGCCAGTGGCGGCGCCAGGGGCGCCGCCAGGAAGGTCCAGCGCCGACAAGAAATCCGCGCGAACCTTCGAAAGCTTACGCTGATGTAGTTCGTTCGAACGGGCTCCTTGTGCGGCGTCGGAAGACTCCGCGCGCAGGTCGCCGGAGCACAAGCCTGCCGCGTCCTCCTCCTCCTTCTCCTCCTCCTCCTCCTCCTCCTCCTCCTTTTCCTCCTCCTCCTCCCCCTCCCCCTCCTCCTCCTCCTCCTCCTTCTCCTCCTCCTCCTCCTCCTCCTCCTCCTCCTCCTCCTTCCCTCCTCCTGCTCCTCCTCCTCCTCCCCCTCCTCCTCCTCCTCCTCCTCCTCCCCCTCCTCCCCCTACTCCTCGGGCCCCATGGGCGGGCCCCAGCGTGCGAGGGCTCTCTTTGGGCGGGGCGGGGTGCCCTTGCGGGGTCGCACCATGTGGGCCACCTGAGCGGGACCCTGCCCGTGACGCCCGAAGTCCCAGGGCCGTGTATCTGGTGGTGTTGGCGGTGCCCACGGCCCAAGGTGCTCCCAGGATGTCCGAGGATGCTCCCGCGGTCTCCAGGGCACCCCTCACGAGACCCAGAGGGCCCCAGGGGCTCCAAAGTCGAGCGAACAACCGGGGGCACCTTGGGCAAGGGACCCCTTCAGCAACCTCCGAATGTCGGGCGTTCTAGACAGGGCCCTGGCCCAAGCCGGCAGTGGGGTGATCGATTCTGGCCGGGCTCTTGGAGGATCGATGGGCGGACACTGGAGCGCCACGCTGTCAGGTACAATCGCTGCGGACGTCTTGCCCCGATGTTGCTCGCACATGTGTCTGTTCGACCTCATGTCTCATATCCCGCTGCATTGGCGTTTTTGTGCTTTGCACTTGTTTTGCAGCTGTCGGCGAGGCGAATCCGAGTGTCTCGGAGCACCTCCATGCCTCCATGGGCCCGTCGGGCAGGTTGCAATCGTTTCGATAGCCTCTTGCTAAGCCTTGTAAGTGGGACTCCCTCTGAGGTGGCTTGTTACTGGTCATCCTGAACGTGGGCAGGAACGTTGCTGGGCCTGGAGGGAACCGTCTTTGGGACTCGAGGAGACCTTGAAGACGCGCGGCCAGCGGTACAACGGATACCCTGTCTCGGCGGGTTATTTTGGTTCTTACTCGCTGGATGGGCTTGCGATCGCACTCTGGGCCGTGTACCACACAGGATCGTTCGACGAGGCAGTTGTCAAGGCGATCAACGTCTTGGGCGACGCGGATAGCTACGGCTCCATATGCGGACAGATCGCGGGAGCGCTGTATGGCCTTCAAAGGGTGCACCCGCAGTTCCGTAGTTGGCTGAACCGGTGGGATGACCACGAGTTTGCTGTAAGAGCTGTGCTTCTTCACGAATTGGGCTCCTCGCTGAAGTAGCCCGTGGGGTCCCGGCCTGGTGCTTCCAGGCGCTTTTGTGGGCAGTCCGCGTCGCAATGTCTCCCCAGCCTGTGCCCTCGAGTCTCGTCTCTTCGCTCCTGCCACACACGCTCGCGCTCTCGCAGCAGCGTGCTGGTCGGCGCGGGCGCCAGGCCGCCGCGCCAGGCGCGAGCGCAGCGGTGCCGACCTCTCTCCGGAGTGCGCGCCTCTCTCCGGGCTCCCCGCTGCCCTTGGACTCGGCGGCGAGCGAGGGGGGGGGGAGCGCGAAGGGGCGGGCCTTCTCAGAAGGCTCGGAAGTCCCCCGCCCTCCCGAGGAGTCTTCGGAGCCTCCCCGAAGACACGGGGAGCTCCTCGGGAGGCGCGCGGGCTTCTGAGAAGTCCCGTTGCCTTCCGAGAAGGCCTGCTCCTTCTTCTCGCTTCCCCCCCCTTCGCTCGCCGCTGCCCTTGACGGCGCGCTCTCTTTGGAGAGTCCGCGGACCCAGGCTTCCGCCCCCGCTGGCGTGCGGCTTGCCGGGCCCGTTCCAGCCTGCTTCCGCCATGGGTGATGGGCCTGTTTTCCACCACCACAAGTTGGAGGGGGGAAGGAGGTGGAGGAGGAGGAGGACGAAGAGGAGGAGGCGGAGAAGGAGGAGGAGGAGGGGGAGGAGGAGGAGGATGAGGACGAAGAGGAGGAGGCGGAGGTCGAGGAGGAGGAGGAGGAGGAGGAGGAGGAGGAGGAGGAGGAGGAGGAGGAGGGAGGACCCCCTCCCCTCCAACTTATGGTGGTGGTGGTGGTGGAAAACAGGCCCATCAGTGGGGCCGGGGCTGGCCACAGGGTCGGCGGCGCGCCCTGGGGGGGGGGGGGGCGAAGGCGGAGGGGGGCGGCACAAGAGGGCCCCGAGTCGCCGAACGATCGCTCCAAGACGCTGTCGTCGTCGTCGTCGTCGTCGTCGTCGTCGTCGTCGTCGTCGTCGTCGTCCCTTCCTGCCTCCCTCCCTCCCTCTCTTCCTCCCTCCCTCCCTCCCTCCCCTCCCTCCCTCCCTCCCTTCCCCTCCCCTCCCCTCCCCTCCCCTCCCCTTCCTCCTTCCCTCCCCCACTCCCTCCCTCCCTCTCCCCCCAAGATGGTCCGCAGACGGCCCAAGAGGCCTCCAAGACGCCCAGAGCGGCCTCCAGGAGGCCTCCCAGAGGGCCCCCAAAGAGGCCAAAGCCAAGGATTCTCCCGAGGTTTTGGAGTGATTTTGGCGCTCGCGCCAGCTTCCCGACGCTCCCAGGCAGCCCTCGAGGCCCCCCAAGACCGCCCAAGATGGCCCAAGTGGGCCCCGAAATGGCCCAAGAAGTGCCCCAAAGGGTCCAAGATGGCCCCGAGACGAGGCCCGGTAGGCCTCCGACCTTCACCACCCACCAAACCATCCCAACCCAGCCCGAAGGCCTCGATCTGCCCTCCATTCCCGGTGTGGGGGGGGGGTCGTCGGGGAACATGGAACACAAACACATGTGGAACCCGTATCCTCCCCAACCCGAAATGTGGGTTTTCGGGTTAGGTTGGGGTGGTTTGGTAGGTAGTCAGACCTTGCGAGAAGCTCTCTAGACCTTCTTCGAAGCCACGGATGGCTTCCCAGAGTCGAAGAGCAAACAACGGCATAAACATACATTTTTGGCGGTCCGCGCGGCTTTCTCGGGTCTGCGCTGGGAGCCCCCCTGGCGGCTCCTACGGCGCCGCCCCTGGCGCGCTCCGCGCGCAAGGGAGGGGGGTCCAGCGCATATCCAAGAGATCCGCGCGGACAGTCAAAAGTTTATGCTTATGCCGTTTGTGTTCCTCCAGAAGGCGGTGGGGCTTCAGAGAAGCCCCGCCGCCCTCTGCGAAGGCCCGCCCCCTCTCACTTCCCCCCCAGGCGCGCCGCGGAGCAGAGAGAGGAGCGTCTCGGGGAGGGGATCCAGCCTCCCACCGCTGCTGCTGTCGGGCATTCTGGTGGGCAAGCCGCCAGAACCAGTCCCTGAGGCCGCCGGGCGGTCGGCAGGCGTCGGCGTGTTTTTTTTTTGGTGCTCGAGACCTCGGGGCAGCACGCTCGGATTGCCTACGGTAACTTCGTCCCTGCCGCAGTATCTTCAGAGGGGTGCGCGGTGCTCCCCCTGCCGCCGTCCTGGCGAGGCGGGGCGCGCCGGCTCCAGGGAAGAGGCAGGGTGACCATGCCCAAGACGCTGCGGGATCTCGTCGACGCCGATCTCGGCCATGGTCCATGCCTGCAGTTGCCGCGTCGCGAGGATGATCCACGGATCGGCGGTGACCCAAACATCCGGCGACCAGGATCGACACCGACGTTTCCAGGTTCAGTCCTGGCCATGGTCACCGTTTTTGTTCCCTCCGCCAACTCTTGCTCAACAGCCGGCTCGAATTGTCTAGATTGTTTTCGTCAGGATGGTCGGACTTGCGATTTTGACAAAAAGTCCCATGATACTTACCTCATTGGAGTGCTTCGGCTTTCTACCTAGAGCAAGGCGTCTTCTCTCACAGGGGCTTCGGCCTCAGAGTGTGCTCTGTCTTGCGAAGGATGCCGCTGTTTGTGCCCGCCTGTGCACAGGCTCCGAATGCCAGGCATGCCTGGGCAGGACGACGTGCTTGGTCTGATCAGGTTCGAGCTCAGCGGTCTACCGCAAGCGTGTGGTCAACCTCCGCGCGTGGGGCGTACGCTGCAGCAGCGTGTCCGTGCTCGAGCGTGTGGATGTTGCAATCTGGGCGAGCTTGCCCTGATCGTCCTGAGCGGCCTGCGTTGAGAGCGTGCCCCGTCGCTTCTGGCGAGATCGCGCGCGCAGCAGAAACAAGTCGAAGCTGCTTGCGCGGAGGCAGTGTGGGATGACAAGAATTGGTGGCGAGGGAGGGGAAGTGAGAAGGAGCAGGCCTTCTCAAAAGGTTTGGAAGTCACCCCGCCTTCTGAGAAGTTTTCTAAGCCTTCACCGAAGACGGACAAACACTTCTCGGAAGGCCAGAGGGCTTCTGAGAAGTCCTGCTGCCCTCTGAGAAGGCCTTCTCCTCCTCATATCCCCCCCTCGCTCGCCGCCGATCATCTGGTGCCTTGCGAGGACGATTGTGGAGCGCTTCCACTGCCGAGGAGGAGGAGGAGGAGGAGGAGGAGGAGGAGGAGGAGGAGGAGGAGGAGGATGAGGAGGAGGAGGAGGAGGAGGCAGCATACTTGTCACTTATTGGCGCAAACTTGCATCGTTTCTCCTGGCGGACTCCTGGGTCGAGCTCCGTAAGGGTACGTTCCACCTCGGGCGAGCCGCCGCCGGCCCCCGCCGTGCCTCCTGTGGCCTACATGGCGCGTGCTGCCGAGCCCTGGGCCGGAGCTTTTGTTGCCGAGCTGTAGCGCTGCGCCCCGGCGGCCGCGGACACACGCGGGGCTGGGGCTCAGGAGACCCAGACCCCCTCGAGTCATGAAAGAATCATGACGGCAGGTTTTTTCCATATTTTCGCCCTCTGGGGGCCCCTGCCGGGCCTGGGGACCGTCAAAAAACGACTCAGGATGAAAAACCAGTCCTGGGGAATGGGTCCAGACCTCTGGGGGTGGGCGTCATGAGAAAATCACGACGTCGGGGGTCTGGACGGGGGTCCCTGCAAAGGCAGCCGCTGGTTTCGCCGATGGCTGCTGGCCAACCCGAAGGCCCCGATTTGCCATACAATTTCCAGTGGTGGGGGGGTCGGGGAACATCGACAAAAATACATCTGAGGCCCGTACCCGCCTCCCTAAACCCGAGATTCGGGTCTTCGGGTTGGGATGGGGTGGTCTGGTAGGAAGTCAGTCACCTCCTGTGTTGCGTGGGCCAGCCTGGGGGGCTCTGTGGCCCACCTGGGCCACCTTGGGTGTCCCGTGGGCTCTAGCAAGGACCCCGGGGGCCCTCTCGGGGGCGCCTGGGGACGAACTGGAGCCACTCTCGGTGCAGCAGGCGCGCCGGCAACAGATCGGCGGAGCCTGGTGCAATGGGGGACGAAGTTTGTCAAGGTGCATGGGGCATCCACAGTCAATCCGCATAGTAAGGATGGGCAGCCTTTCCAAGGCTGCCCCTGCATCCTTGCCCCTTCGGCCCATCCTGAGCGACTTCCGCTGGCCGGCCTCGATCGAAAAACGTCGGCACGGCCCTCCAAGGCCCTCGCATCCTTGCCGCGCAGCCTTCTCCCGTGGGCTGACCGTGCGTGTTTGCTCTGCCTGCTTTGCTTTTTTCTCTTTTGTTTGGTGGGGAAGGCTTTTTTGCTCGTCTGCTTGCGTCTGCTGCCTTCCTGGGTGGAGGGTGCCCGTGAGGGGGGCCACCCTCCCGGCGGGTCTCTCCGGGTCGGGGCCTCGCCTGCCCCGTGCACCCGCCCGGCACAGCCCCAGCCTCGGCGCCCCCGCCCCCCTCCCCCCTTCTTCTGGCGGCCGTGCCGCTGCCTTTCGGCGACGCCCACCTGCGCCTTGAAGGGGTGGTGGGGCTCGCCGCGCCCAGTTCACGCGAAGGAGGAGGAACGCCGTGAAACGTAAACTTGTGGCGCTCCGCGCGGATGCTTTGGATCCGCGCTGACAGGGGTGGTGGGACTCGCCACACCCACAACAGCAGCCGCCGCCCCCCGCCCTGCACAGCAACGCCAGTGGCCAGACTCCGTGCGAGAGTGCGACTTCACATTATGGCCAGGCTGCTCCCCAAGCCGCAGCGGAAACAGGCTGGGGAGGAGTTGAATCTCGACCCTGGGGTTACATCGGGCATGCCACTCCACAGGAGGAATATTCAAAAATAGTTTTGAAATAGTCTGGTGAGGGTTTTTTGGGTTATTTTTGACACTTGTTGAATGTTTCTTGACAGTTTTTTGTTCTTCCTCCCAAAATCCGCCTGCAGGAGGACGTGCCCGACCTAAGATTAACATTTTGGCCAGACTGCTCCCCAAGCCGCTGCGGAAGCAGGCCGGGGAGGAGTGAAATCTCGACCCTGGGGACTGGAAATTGGCTGCGGAAGTAGACGAAGACCACCTGCCGCCCGGGAGGGTGGTGGGCTGCTGC